ATAACTGTCACAAAAAGCACACCACGTTTACTCATTATACAATTAGAATCATAATACAGGAAATTCAGTAAACAAAAAGGTGCCACAAAAGAAAGACCGAGGTTGAGTCCACAGGAGATAAATCAGATAGACAAATCCATTAAACAATAGACAGTTGCAAGCAACTCAGACCAACATCAGTAGCATACACATACAGTGTTTAAATATTGGAATAGAGTTAACTTAAATCTGCGAAAAGATAAGATGGACCTCAAAAAAAGAGGAAGATTATTCCAATCCTGAGAAGCTTTATAGTGAAAAGACTTTCTACCAGTGGCTGAAAAGATTCTTGGTACAGTAAAAACAAGAGATTGCATATCACGAACAGGATACAAAGAACTGCGTGGAACCAAGAGTTCACTCAAATAAGGAGGGCATTCAAAATAGGCACATTTGAAAATAAAAAGAAACCAATGAAAGTCTCTTCTTGATTTCAGCTAAAGCCAATTCAAGGATGCAGACGCACTGTGATACAGCACAGATGCACACACTGATGTGTTTTAAAAGGACACCTCAAAACAAATCTACATAAAGAGTTAAATACAACATTAAGAGGCCTAAGAGTAACTTCACTAGTGTTCATGTAGACAATATCAGCATAGTCAACAATGGGCAATATCAACTGGGAAATTAACCTTTTCCTAACTTCAAATGTAAAGCAATTAACAGATTTATAAAGTGTACTAAGACAACCATATACTCTCTTTGTGATATGGTCAATGTGAGGTTTGAAGGTAAGTTCGGAATCAATCCACAACCCAAGATACTTAAATATGTCAGATTTCACCATCAGCAAGACCCATCAGGTTATGATAATTAAGCCCACCAATAATACTCATTACTGTAATGAAAGAAAGTGATTTATTATCCGCATTGGTAGGATTTGTTGTATTTAATTTGCTGATTTGAAAAAAAAATGCATTGCAGTTATTGTTATTTATTATTCTGATTTTGAGGTCAAATGTGATCATGAGCCATGACTTACGGAAATTTACCAGCCATTAATATTTTATACTGGTTATGACACCGAAATGTTAGATACCAGTGATAATTCACAGTTCTCTATTACAATTCCGATACCACAATTAAAACTACCAGCCTAACTAATCTAAATTTAAAACTTTATTAAAGACGAGTTATGAGTTATTAAAGATGATCTACCTCTGCACATTAGACAGGCTTCTTCATTGTCTGTTTTTAAGTCTCTTCTTAAAACCCACCTTTATTCTTTGGCCTTTGATAACTGAAATTGACAATTCAGGTTTGGTTATATTGATTTTATTCGTTCATTGTATGGTTGTGATTGTTTTTATTTGTTTTTTATGGGTCGTGTGAGTTTTGTATTTTAGAGGGGTTTTGTTATGTATTCATTTATTGTTTTTAGTACAGCACTTTGTGTCCATTTTGGATTTGAAAGTGCTCTATAAATACATTTAGATTGACTGATTGAGTTACAGTAGTTTTCAGGTCGAGACATTGAATAAAGTAATCAAATGCAGAATAACACTGGATATAGTCTTCACTGTATAAATTAAACAGAATAATCCTTATTAAAGTCACACAAGTTATTCAGTCAAGTTTTTTTTAGTCTGTTGTTTGATTAACATTAAAAACAAATATTAGGCTGCCGTCACTTTTTTTACACATCTTTCTCTACTGCTTATGTTCTTTTAAGCCACAATGGACCATGTTTACTAGGATATTCGCAGAGGCGGGCATTTTTGTACATCATTTTTGTGAATTTGTCCATTCTAACGCAAGACAACGTGAAACCAAGCTCAGTTCAGTATCCACGCGCTGTCTGAGACGAGGCTTTCTGTGTGCGCACTTCGGATGTTTGCACACACAAAATTTCCACACTTTGCGTGAGTAACGTAAGTTCTTTTTTCGCGTCTTCTTGCCCTTGAATATTTAAATGGCTTAAACTCTTGAGATAATGTCCCAAGTTCACATTCCTGTTCTCACAACATTGCGTTGTTAGAATTCATAGAAATGTTACCGGGCTACTGGCCATTGACACCGTTTTTATATACTAGCCAGCACTGATTTTTACGAGTGCTATCTTCAGGCCCTGCACTGCATGATCCAGCTGAAGAAAGCATCCGCTGGTAAAAGAGAAGAATTTCACTGCATCAACTCCATGATGTTGAGCCAAAAATACAGACTGAAGCCGCAAACAAGCAGTAAAACTATGTCCGAGAGCAAATAAAGGCCTTAAGTGTGAGGCTGCTGGTAATCCTGCTCACTTCTGTGTATCAGCCTCAAACACTGCTTCAAATCTGGACTTGCCAAGGGTCAGTTGTGCCCAAACTGCATCCTACATGTACACTCTTAAAAAAATAAAGGGGTTTTCGCAGCAATGCCATGGAAGAACATTAAGTTCCCCGAAGACCATTCAGTGATCCGTTCCTAAAAGAGCTATGTTTTATAGTGTTCAGAACATTTTAATAATCTAACAAACCTTTTTCCACTATGAAGAACCTTTTGTGTGATTCAAAGGTTCCATGAATATTGAAGGTTCTTCAGGGAACCATTGATAAAGAAGTGATGATTGCAATGCATATTTATAGTCAAAGTACATGTCTTTGTTAATATATTTTGTCATAGTTATATTCCAAAAAACTGCAGCATTTTTAAATCCCCAAAATAAAATGTTGGTTTAAAATGTCTGTTAATTGAGGTAATTTGCTGCAAAAACATTTGATTGGTAATTTACACACATTGTCAGTCACACATAACCAAATTCTGAGTTTTATTTTGATGCATGTTCCAATTGTGATAAAATCACATCAGGCAACTTTACTGTACCTTAAATAAAAATTAAGACAACGTCATTATTTTGACGAGCCACACAGAGCCACTTAAAGGCTCGTTAATGTGCAATAATGATAAAGTAAGTAAAGCATCTACTTTAGATGAAACATCAGAATCCTTCAGTACTAGGTAGAAATCAGGGGCTTTGATTCTCACATCTGCTCAAGCTCTTTCCTGTGGATTTCCTCCAGATATCTTCTCTCTCTCTGATTCTGAACACATCACACTGTCGCAGAGATTCACAGAACATCAGATGCCACTTTCATGCTTAACCAGTGTTAAACAAAACCTCCCTGTAAACATGTTTATTTGGCCTGTTTCAGCGACTTTCTTCTTCTTGTATGGTATTTGTGAAGTTCAGTCTTCAGATACTCATAAAAACAACACAGATTATAACCAGCTATGAAAACGTGACACCTGAGGATAATAAAGGAGTGAAATACATTTACTTTATTCTAACAAACCACATATTTGTCACGTCATAATAAATTTAGAAAGCTTCCATTACACGAAGCTGCCGTGATAACCATTTATTATGCTAAAAACATTTTTTTCATGTCAAAATATATAAGTAAAATTAATTTTGACAAATCAAATTTATCCAGGTCTAACAATATATAATAGACTGTATGACACCAGGCAAATTTCTTGACTATATTTTCTATGAAATAATAAATAAAGCACATTACCCAAAACAGTTTCTGTTGAGTAAAATATTAATGATGCACACACACACACACACCAAAATGTGCAGACCTTGACATTGAAATAAAAAAGGGAAAGACTATAGCGCTATCTGGTGGACATTTGGTAAATTGCATATAGCTGTTGGATGTTGAATTACATATAGCTGTATGAATTACCAGCTAGTAGCCTTTCAATAACCATTCACAGTGCATGCACCTCATATTTATGGTATTTATATGCGCATTAAAATGCATTGCAAGTATGCACACTATAAGTAAGGAAAACTATAACAACTGACCATCCGATAAACGATTGTCATCCATCCAAAATCTGAAGTCACTAAAGGAATAGTTGAGCCACAAATGAAAATACTGTAATTTACTCACCCTCAAGTTGTTCCAGACCTGTATGACTTTCTATTTTTCTGTGAAGCTTTAAAATATGGTGTTAGGTTGAATGACAACCCTTATTTTAATTGCATCTGTTTTAACATATGATGTTCTATTCAATGTTCTTCTGCTTCAGTGTGTCGCTGTCCGCCGTGCTGAATCTGAAATGGGTCAGAAAGACAGCTGTCAATCATTTTATGTTCACAGACGCCTTTATCCAAAACCACATTGCATTCAAGATATACATTTTATCATGATTAACACCAACACAATTATTGTAATCATAAAAAAATACTTTCAATGTGACACTTTAATAACAATAATTGCTATTAAATCACCATGATTTTATTGTAACAATAACTTACACCATCTTCACTGTAAAAAATATGTATGATCAATAAGTTATGACATAGTAATGACAAAAAACTTTTTTTTTTACATTGCGTTAACTCATCAGAATAAGTTAAGCAACTTTCAACTTTTTATATAAGTTACAAGATTCAACACTCTTTTTAAAGTCAGTTTAATGTAATTTAAGTTGAAATGACTTAAACATCCAAGTTGATTGTACTTAATTTAAGGCAGCAACTTTACAGTGTTGTTTTGTTTTGAAAATTATTGATGAATAAATTGAGAAGTTGAATGAATAGTCATTCAGCTTCTAAAAATAATTAATTCATCAATAATTAAATTAAAATATTGGTGATAGTGTAAATAAAGATTGTGACTTAAAAAAAATAATGCAAGTTAATTTACTAATTTACTATTTGTACTCTTAGCATGTGTGAATTTCAAGCGTGTGAATTTCAATGCGCTCAGTTGTCGACATCTGCTGTCAGGAGCTTCACGAGCACCACCACCACCATCTTCATCATCATCATCCTCCCCACCCCTCAACCTCTCCCTGCGGGAACGACAATATCCAGCTCTTGGCATTCCCAATTTGGAATTGCAAATCCTCGCTAAAGGAACCAATTTGAGCGGCACAACCCACATTCTTTCTTAAATGGCGTCAAAAACGCGTCTCGCGCGCGCGTTATCGAACAGGAGGTATGGCGGCTAATCAGACGCTCTGTGAATCTGTATCAGTCAGGGTTTCAATGCATGTGCTTATTTGTATCATCATACGACCATTTAAGCATATCTAAACATACTGCTGATCTTTGTCATTTGAAAGATGCATAAATTGCCTAATCAAATCGCAGGTTCCGTTGCAAACGGAAGTAAGCGATGAAATTCGATTTCAAAATGCATGACGGAATGGACAGGCGGGTTTGAAAGCGCAGGTTGGGTTGCATTGGTGTGCGTTTGTAACCAGTGGATGCTGAAGAGTCTGGGGAGAGCTTGAGGTGGTCATTGTTCCAGCCATGTCTCCTCCAGCATCTGCTGCGACGGCCAGTGAGAGCAGCACCAACACTGTGTTCGAGGACGACACGGACGCGGCGAGAGAGGAGGTACTCAATAACTCACGCGGTTTTCATTTAGCAGTCATGACGATGCGTGATAACTGAGACAAAAAACTAAAGATCCCGATATGTAAACATGAGCATCGACGTGCACAACATGGAAGCATGCAACAATAGACATCACTGCAGTGAGAACGCATGAGCAGAGATTGGCTTTATCAAATAACAAACGGCCGAACAGGCTTTGTTATTGTAAGCAATAGAGGTAAAATCCACGGATGCATGATTCTACATAACAAATGACACCCAGTATGAAACAGAGTCATGTCAGGCATGAACAATATTTATTGAGCACATATTCAACCATTGATAGTGATAAACCAATATATTGGCCAGGTCAATATTTAGTAGTGCAAAGCAAACTAAACCAGCCCAAGATGATTTACTGGTCGGTAAGCTGAAAAGTGTGCAAAAACAAACAAACAAACAAACAAACAAACAAACAAACAAACAAAGAGCAAGTACACCATTGGGAGATCATTTATTGTTTCAGATCAGCAAACCAGCTTGGGCTTTTTTCAACAAGGTTACATCAAGTTCAAACTCTCCAAACAGCTTTGTATATTAATACATTTTCAATTTATTTTAGGGAATTTTGTAATAAATATTGTAGCAAATATTGTTGAAATTAAGTGATCGTTTAATTTCACCTGATTTAGATTGTTAAATAGGGACACACACACACACAAAAGTGAATAAATGTATAAAAAGGAAAGAAAAAGCAATTCTTTTAGGTAATTTTTTTATTATTTTAGTAAATATTACAGTCCTGTAGCTCAAACAGTAAAGCATTGGCGCTTGCAACGCCAGGGTCAAGTGTTCGAATCCCAGGGAAAGCAAGAACTGATAAGAATGTAAATGTGTATCTTGAAATGCAATGTAAGTCGCTTTGGATAAAAGTGTCTGCCAAATGCATAAATGTAAATGCTAAAAAAAAGATCCAAAGAGATATCAAATGAACTTGGACTTTAAAAAAAGTACATAAGTATACACACAGATCCATTAGCCAATAAAGGAATACAATTCTGCATATTCACATCTTGCTTTCAGACATGCATGACGTGGTATTTGCATAAATCACTGTACTCACCGCTTCCATGTCCTTTTTAACTCCTCTCCCTTGTTCTCTTTTGTGTTTGACGAGCAGCAGAGGCCTGTGAAACAGTCACTGAGCAAGTCCATGTGCAGAGAGGTGTTCTGGAAATGCCTGCTGCTGTCTATGCTCATGTACGGCTGCATGGGAGCCATGGTGTGGTGCCACGTCACCAAGGTCACCCGGTTGACCTTTGACAGTGCCTACAAAGGGAAGTCCATGATGTATCATGACAGTCCCTGCTCAGACGGCTACATCTACATCCCACTGGCCTTCCTCATCATGCTTTACGTCGTTTACCTGGTGGAGTGCTGGCACTGCCATGCCAAAAATGAGCTTCAGTACAAGGTGCACGTGGAGGGAATTTACGAAAGAGTCCAGAGGATGCAGCAGGCCAAGCCTTGCATCTGGTGGAAGGCCATCAGCTACCACTACGTGCGGCGGACACGGCAAGTCACGCGGTACCGCAACGGAGACGCGTACACCACCACGCAGGTGTATCACGAGAGGGTCAACACCCATGTAGCCGAGGCAGAGTTCGACTACGCCCACTGTGGAGTCAAGGATGTCTCCAAGCAGCTAGCGGGTCTGGAAAAGTCAGCCATCACCAAACTGAGGTTCACTAAGTGCTTTAGCTTCGCCAATGTGGAGTCCGAAAACTCCTATTTGACCCAACGGGCACGCTTCTTCACCGACAACGAAGGATTGGATGATTACATGGAGGCCCGGGAAGGGATGCACCTGAAGAACGTAGACTTCAAAGAGTACATGATTGCCTTCTCCAACCCAGACCACCATCCCTGGTACGTCTCCAACTGGGTCTTCTGGACAACGGCCTTTCTTACCGTATCCTGGCCGTTGCGGGTTCTGGCGGAGTATCGCACGGCTTACGTCCATTACCGTGTTGAAAAGCTCTTTGGTGCAGACTACATAGCTGTGACGCCCTGCGACGAGAGACCTTACTGTAGACGCATCCCGAGAGTCAACACCATCGACAGCACCGAACTGGAGTGGCACATTCGCTCCAACCAGCAGCTGGTGCCGAGCTACTCCGAGGCGGGTCTGATGGATCTGGCACAGCGCTCAGGAGGCGTCAGGCAGAACTGTGAACGCTGCCACCGCGCCATCAGCAACTCATCCGTGTTTTCCCGAAGCGCCCTCAGCATCTGCAACGGCAGTCCTCGCATCCCCTTCAGCGGGAGCCGCTTCTCCTTGGGAAGACTGTACGGTTCTCGCCGAAGCTGCTTCTGGAGAAGCGGGAGCGGGAGTCTGGACGAACCCGAAAGTCCCAGCGAGAACACGCGATGCCTGTCCGGACGGATCAACGCCGATGAGGAAGACCCACCGGCCTACCAGGATGCGCTGTACTTCCCGGTGCTTATCGTCCACTGTAATGAGAGCTGTCCCAATCACCGCTCCTTCCATAGGAACAGCTCATGTGTGGAGACGTCATTATGATCGACCTCTTTAACTACATAAACCACTGAAAGAAGAAGAACATCTAAACGTGAGACTTAAAAATCCTCAATACTCGACATGTCCTGTAACTCAGGAATCATTTATTGGAATATTTATCAGCCCACAACACTGTATGCTTACAACGACTGTGACTTACAAAGTCCGAACCAAGTCTCAATTCTAAAATAACTCAAGTAATACACATTTACAGCAATAATGAAGACAGAGCATTGGAGCTCTTGGTACAAGTAATCATTTTCACATTGTCATTAACTGGCTATCTAGGAGAGCAAAAACGGGCTGTATGTTCTTGACTGCTATAAAGAACAATCGCCACATCTACAGAGCAAAAACCTGGTCCTTTTTCTACAAGTACGACCAACTTTTCACCTTTATGGACCTTCTTAAATGTTGCACTTGAAGTCAATTCATCTGTAAAAGAATGTTACTTTGTTTCTCTCGCATAGTGGATTCCATGTATGGTTTACATTCATATATGAACACTCCTTCTGTATATGAGAAAATATCATGGGTTATTTGTACTTTAACTGTGATTTAACTGCATCAGGCAGAACAATATTCAGTAAGGTTATGAACTGTTATGGCGATGTTCGCAACACTGCATATCTCAAACCATGCGACACATTTCAGGCTATGCAACTATTAACCTCTGGTATGTTATGCCTTTAAAACGTATATACAATTTACAATGGAATGTATGACTGTTGAAGCTTTTCTTTACACCGCTTGTATTTAGTGTACAAACTATCCAACAAGGACTGAATTATTAAGTGAAGGCAGACATGAACAGGCTTGTATATTAGTGAATGTTTTACACTTTCAATAGCTGGCAACTGCTCTTTTACTTGGCCGGAAATTGCAGTGGATCAGAGCAAAAGCAACAGATCAAGTAAAAAGAGAGGGAAAATACATTTCTTTATGCAGCTGTACATTTATTTATTGGTTTACAGCCATTTGATAATCAGTACTGTGTCTGTAACTCTTTTGGATCAACTGTAACAAAGGTGCAGCTTTATGAAAGCTTCATTCATCGACACGGTTTTAAAGTATCGACCATCAAAAATGGCCTAGAGTTTTCCAAAGACATTTTTTTATCTCTTTCATGCAGTCGATCTGGATATAGCCTGTATATCTCTGATCTGTTACCCGTTGCGTCTAAAGGTTGCAAAAGCATTTATCAGGATTGCATCCTATCACTTTTATACTGCCAATAGATAATGCATTCCATATCATGAAAAACTCAAAACACATCACTATATGCTTTATTCATGTAGCAGCCATTAAACATGAAAATTGTTGGGTTAAATGGACATAAACTCACTGAATAAACTGCTTGTGGATACACAGAAATGAGTTATCACTGTACAATACAAAGACAAAATGACACTTCATCTACACTTAAGTCATTCCTGTTCAGTTTTTGTTGTAATTTAAGGAAGTATTACTAAGAAACTAAGAGTTTTGCAGACTTCGTAACTTTATTATTTACAAAATGTCAAGAAAATTGCTAGAAATTCATAAAGAGCTAAAGTTCACTTACACGAGGATGCTAGCAACTCAATTTTCATATTTTTAAGCATCTTCTTGTTGATGAATGTTGATCTTATCAAACTTATTTACTTTGAGAGAAACAAACCAACTAACATCACAAAACTCCCCAGAATTAATTAATATACTATCAATTGATAATACTAACTATTTGTTGCTGATTACACACAGATTGCATGTTATTGCCCACTGTGCAGTTATGAGAACACACCTCTAGATGGCAGTGAAGAATGTGTCACATAAAATATCACCATGAGTAATTCTACTGTATAAACATGACTTATCGTCATGTTCTCTAATTGCAGGAAGAAGAAAAAACGGTAACACTTTATTTTACGACCCGCAAACAACTGCGTAAGTACACCGAAATTACAGTGTACGTTTCTGTAATTATAGCGTACTTCTGCGTAGGTATAAGGGAACAATATGTTAAGTTTTGGGTAATAAAGGGGTAACAAGCAGATATACAACCTGTAAATAACTTCGTAAGTAAATCAAAATTACGGTGTACGTTTCTGTAATTGTAGTGTACCTCCGTGTAGGTATAAGGGAACAATATGTTAAGTTTTGGGTTGGCTAATAAAGGGGTAACAAGCATATATACAAGCAAATTATTTATAATGTAATTATTTTAAAACTAACAGGTACCTAATATGTTAATATATTCCAGGCAAAAATTGTACGTCTGTTGTATATAAGTTAGCCTGTCATCACATTTCTGGCAAAATATGTTCTTGTGCAATTTTACAGGGTAATTTTGACATCTGTGGGTTGAAAATGAAACGTGTATGGCTGTATGTAAGCACAGTATGATAAAAAATGAATTTATTGGCTTTTCTTACTAGATTAAATAATGTTAAATCAACCCACAGATGCCAAAATTAAATGTAAAATTGCACAAGAACATATTTTGCTAGAAATTTGATAACTTTTATACACAACAGACTTACAATTTTTGCCTGGAATATATTAACATAATAGGTACCTGTTAAAATAATTACATTATAAATAATTTGCTTGCATAGCTTGTTACCCCTTTATTACCTTATACCTACACGGAGGTACACTATATTTACAGAAACGTACACCGTAATTTCAGTTTACTTACAAAGTTATTTGCAGGTTATATACTATCTGCTTGTTACCCCTTTAATACCCCAAACTTAACATAGTGTTGCCCTATACCTACACGGAAGTACCCTATAATTACAGAAACGTATGTATTTTCGGTTTACTTACGCTGTTGTTTGCGGGTCGTAAAATAAAGCGTTACCGAAAAAACAACGAAATAGTAATAACCAGTTGTTTCAGATGGCTTCACACACAGATGACACGATTAGAGAGCTTCTGTTTGAACAGTATAGTATGTGTTTGCCAAGTTCATGTGGCTCTGTTTCCGTGTTTAATTCAGAGAGAATTTAAATAGCAAGAATAACTGGTTTTAGATGACTCTACACAGAAAGACTGGAGAAAAGCAAAGCTCCTCTAGAAATCTCTATTGAAATTTCTGTTTGGACAGATGGTTCAGTCATAGTGATCTCAAATGGCCTTTGTGAACTATTGATCAACGTTGACACAGGGAAGTCTAATGATTTTGTTAGCAAGCATGTCCCACCCCGAGTACATACACAGAGACGAGGAAGTCTGTCAGGATGAAGGAAGTGAACGAATACAAAGGTTCATTTACCTAGTCTTTTTCTGACCCAAATGCATCCATAATAAAACAACTCAGAAAGGTTCAAGAATTATGGGAGAATCTCACAAGTTGAAGAACAACACCATTTCATATTTCAGCCCTAGATACTATTTTCATGTCAATTACAAATATTCCCCACACTGGATTGTCATAACCATTAACAGTTATATACTATTTAAAGGTACAAAATGTAAGAATTTTGTAATAAAATATCCAAAACTCACTTGCACAGTGTGATATATTTCCTGCAGTTGTGTACTTACAATATCCCAAAAGTCTCCAAAGATTTTTTATTTCAGAGAAATTCCAATTTTAAATAAGTGGCCGTCCCGGAAAAAAAATGTCGCCTGTCAATGACGCAATATCCGCGCTATCCTCGGTTTCCGCTCGTACTGCCATAGCCATGACGTAACCATGGCGACAGACGCGGACAACTGCATAGTGCGTAACGTTTAGCGCACGCAGTTCTTGTTTCTTTCAAACATAGACCATGGCAAGCAGACTTTGGGACAAACAAGGAGAACTAAAATGAGGATCAATATCAGCGTGGCGTTTTCGAGATGCCGAGAGCTAGCGTCCGCGACTAACTTGGACTCGACAGAGCTTCACGAGTCACGACTTGACAGCTTTATTAGACAGGTGAGCAAATGTACATAAAACAAATCAATGTTATATAACGTTAGCTCAACATGATGAAATGTTAGAATATGGTCAGTATGTTATTCTAATGTTGATCTAGCTTACTGCTAGTTTCGTATAGCAAACGAACTAACACGTAGTATAACATTATAACTTTCAACACACATTTAAATGCCGTTTAGTGTGATAGTGTAATGTTAGAGCAAGTGAAGCAGCGCTGCGTTACCTCACAAGTTTAATTCGTCTAATAAACTGACCTGTGTGAGTAATCCAGCACTTGCGTGTAGTTCGGTAGAATTAAATGTCCTTATTCCTTTATATCCACGGGACTCGCGTGTGAAATCTGTCTCTTTAGCAATCGCGACCTGCTTCATACCACTGTAATGTTAAAAACATGAATGTTTGCACTCATCCATAAACATTATTAGATCCATCAGCTTGACAGCAAGTCCCATCATTCACTTCATCACTGCGTCATCAACCTACGCCTTTGTTATTGTTGGAAACTGCACCCTCTTGTGGCGAAAAAAACATACATATTGTGCCTTTAACTTGTTAGACATGTTATATAGGCCTACTTCACATAATAAAAACGTTAAACATCAGGGTTTGGAGAAGTTTGACCCTGGACATGAAATTTATGAGATTGAACCAGCAAGAGAAAATACGACAACACATTTATGATGTAGTTAATAGTAAAAAATCTAGTAAATATTGGATTGCTCAATCTTTTGCTTCAATAGCACCATTGACGAGATGAACAAACAGTGTAAGGTTTGTTCATCTTGTCAATGGTGCTATTGAAGCAAAACTAGATTACTGTTATCTGAATGAAAACGTTAAACAACTCCCCACACAATTAATTCTGTATTTAATAAAATGCACAATCCAATCAATCACCCTATGCACAATAAAATAAAATCAAATAAATTATAGTTGTTGAGCCTCCATTTTGCAAATGTGCCAAGTATGAAAATAAAGTAGATTTCTTTATTTTATTGCTGTATGTTATACTTGAGGTCACAGAAGTCTGTCCAGGATCCTTTTCTCGTTCTCTGGCTCATGAGTACATGGTGAGATGCATCCACTACAAGAACAGAGTTATGCATTATGATTGTTATTA